AAAGACAATTGAACCCAATTTGATAAAAATGGCAAACTTAATGACGGACATTAGTTGTTTATCATCTCTCTCTAAAACCATGGCTTGTCAACAGAAATCTAGCATATGATTTCTTCATTTACAATGATTTATTTGTTCTGCCGATGACTTAACATAACCCAGGTAATCATAGGAATGACTTCCAGGTATAGCTTAGCTGAACACCTAGGAATTAGATCTACAAATGTAGTTTACTGGATTTTACAATGCGTCCTGTCTTAACATATCGCACCAGACTAAGAGCTTGGAAAGCCGAGGAGCAACAACATCGTTTTGGTCGCCGAGTTGGAAATTGAGGTCACCTATCAGAATCTTACATGTATGCAATGGTACTACAACTTGTTGCCCTAAAAAAGTAGACCATTCAACAAAGATCACTTTGTTTTGTTAGTCGTTCTGTGTAGACTGACAATGTCTGTGTATGACACACCGTCTGAGTTGTTTGTTATCAGCAGTAACAAAGCAGTGGATTTTATCCAAATCTGTAAAGACAATGTCATGAATAGAAATTAGATGTCTCACACTAAGACATGTCCCTAAAAGAACATCTCGACCAACCCAGTACCTTGTCAATATTGGCAAGCTGTATAAATAATGCCCTTAACGCAGCTAACATTTGGTTATCTGTTGTTGTAAACAAGAGTTCACACTGATCTCTGACGTGGTAAACATGTCCTGTGAAAAAACAATGACATGGGTGTTTTATTAACAAAGGGCATTCCAAACATATCAGCTCAAATGAGCAATTCTTTTCGAACTTCTGCAAGATTGATGATGTGAATATCTGAATACAATCAGCATCGCTATGGTCATAACTAACCACCTTTATACCACGCATTGTCTTCATCTATTTGCTACCTATCTCTACTCCTACTATAAATTTATAAATAGATGTACCCGCGGACAGGTGTACTTTTTGCGTTTGCTATGAAAGGCGTAATGTTTGTAAGGCACAGTCATGATCGCAAAGCAAGAAAACGTAAGCAACCAAAGTGACCGTCCTGTAACAGCGGGTGAACCATTCCACATATAAGTCAATAAAGTACATACAATGAAATCGTGCAAAAATCAGATGAGATTCCTTTTTCAATTATTCTCAAGCGATAAAGTCATATCACAAAACATTCCTTTAAGAGCTTGAATATATTGATTATTTTGTTATCAGTTTATAGGTTGGGATAGCCTTTTTATATTTAAAAATGAATGTACAGATGTATGACTTATTCATCATAATTGCCTTTTTTCTGAAGTGATTAATACATATAGCAACGAAGATAATAAGTTTTTCAGGACGTATTTTCTAAATATTAAAAATAATTTAAAAAATGGTTATAGCATTCGCTATGCCATTTCGCTATTTTGTTTCCAAAAAAGTCGATATTAGAAAATTATACATTTTTTGTTTGAAATTTCTTCTAAGCAAACAAACAGGACCACTTTGAGGTTTTCAGATGTGAACCGCTTTCTTTAGCACAAAACAACTGGTATTCGTTTTCTCTTATCGTACGTTAAAAGGTAAGGGTCACCTGCCCGACCACAGTGGTTTTCCTCGTCTACTCCAGTGTCCTGCAATATTATGTTACATCCGGGCTTCAAAGTTTAAAATTGCTTTTTTCTTTTTTTCTTTTAAAACCCCTAAGCGCCGGGAACGACCGCATTGGTTTGATATGTAAACACTTGTGTCCACTTCCCGTGCTTCCCCAAGCGTTAAAGCAGTCTAGTAAATTGAGGCTGCATACTTTCTACAAAAGGATATGATATAACTTTTCAAAAGTGAACTATGATGAATTATACGTTTGATAAAATCTTTCCTCTTCACTGCAGTTAAGATTTACTTATTTATAAATCCACAAGCGAAAATGTCACACTTATTATTGTCTAATCAGAACAGCACTTTCTCTACACTGCCAAGATTTACAGTTTCAAGTTCAGATGAAGCGACGGCAAAATTAGTGACTGTTTTGATACATACATTATTGTATTTTCATAAATACACCACTAATATCTTTTTTGTTCAGAAATTTTAATAGATAATAGCAGCAAACGGCAAAATTACATTAAAATCCCCATTCAAAATGGCGCTCTTCGTTGTTGTCCAGCGTGACGTCATTAAAACCTGGCGTCAAATAGTACGCTTCAAATTCCCACATTCTTCTAAAGTAACATATCTAAGTCCCGTTACTTTAATCATTGTTATCATTAAAAATTGAATGGTTTTCGCGTTAAACACAATTCACCCCTTTAAAACAATGTGAAATAGCAACCAGAAAATTAGCGTTATGAATAATTCATTTGACAAATACAATGTATTACACGTGACAATTGCGTTATATACACTAGACAAACACAACTTATTACCCCTTTGAGAAAAATCTAGGAATCTGATTGGTTAAAAACTACAGTGTACCAAACCGCATTCGTAAATCTCAGGGGGTATACGAAAATACCAGGGGGTATACGGTTATGTCACGTGATTCTCAGCAGTAATACGATAGAATCACGTGATTTTACAAGGGGTATACGGGTCACGTGTCGGGAGACAACTCGCATTCGTCGTCTGCTTCGCTGTTTACAAAATGGCAAAACGTTTCGCTTCGCATACTGATGAGGAAATACTCGCCAAAAGGGCTAACAATGTGCCATATAACACAAAAAAGTCGAACAGACGAGCGGCAAACATGCTGAGAACGTATTTCTTGTTAATCACGCCTTTGTAATGTAATCATTCCAATGTCAAACATATAATAAAAAAACATTATAAGGTTTCATAATATATGAATGTTTATTTTGTATTTACAAAGCATTTAAGTCACTTATAATAAAGTTAAACTTAAAATATACATGTATTTCTATGAAAAATATTGTGACTTTTATGATATCAATATATTTTAACGTTGGTGGTCATAGATAATTTTCTCTATTCAAAAAACCGGCAAATACCAATTGAATATGACGAACTTTGTTCTTACTTTTGGCGACTCATATCACTTTTGATAAATAATAACTGTTAACGTCAAAAATAAATAAAACAGATAATAACTCATTTTTTTCTCAAATGATTATGTTCACCCTATATCTTAGAATTTTTACATATTGTCCACTAATTTTTATTAATTGAATTCCTAAATCTATTGGTTACTTTTCCAATTGAGTAGCGGTTGCCTCCCTTTGTGTATATATGAGGCTAAACTCACGAAACGTACATGTACAACAATCGATTTGATTCGACCATATCTATCGATAATTGATAGCACAAACTTCATTCCAAATCATCTACACAATAGAACAGAACCATTATGAACAGAGGAAGCACCAAAAGAAAGGGGAAGACGTGATAATGAAGTTCACAATAAATGTGTAGTTATTCGTGGACTGTTAATAGTATTGGTATACATAATCATTGCAATACATTCAGCACCGGTTTAAAATACAATAATGTCCAATGTTTCCTTCTGACATATGATTTTGATTTCAAGCATTCTTAGAATACACGCATCTAGTCTTATAATGTCCTAACGTCCAACAATGCAATAAGATCAGACGGCACGCATAACAGCCAAACAGCACAGTGAAATGAAGTCTAGCCTCCAATGAACACAATAAGGCACAGTATAACTCATCTTAACGGCAATTAATACAATTAAGCTAAATAGCACGTTTAACGGCCATAAGCACCAAGCGTATACCTAATCTTACTGACTTATCAATAAACAGGGATTATAGCTAGTCGTACTCGAACAGTCCTATTGGTTGTACAAAACAAAACGGTAAAAAACTAATATTAATGGTCATCAATGCATAAAGTGACATATCACTTCTTAACTGCCAAAATATACGGTTTGAGCACGTCTTAAGCTTAGCGACCAAATCACACAAGAGGACTGACGTTAACCATTACCAGCAGCGGATTGACGATTCAAATAACTAAACCGCTGCCAGTGGATCCGGTTTTTGTTTTTAAGTTCTGACATGCTACTTCTAATTTATTTGAAAAACCTATCACTAAACACCAACAGGTTAATAATTTCGAGTTACTTTTTTTAAGAAGTAAACCGCTGCCAACAGCTGATTCGTCACTTAAAATTCTGACTATCCTTGATGTTTCAGATTCTTTATTTCCTTATGTTTACAACACATCGGAGAGTAGACAACCATATGTACAAGATATCACAATGTATAACACAAATTACAGTTGATGCAATAGTGTACAATGCATAACATAGATTATTAAAACACAATATACCTGTATGTGGGTATAACATACAGAACATGCAGTATTATATTTAGTTAAACAATATTATTTCGTCGTTTTGTACTTAAATGCAAAAATTTGCCTAGGTTATTTAGATCTTTAACGATTTTGGTATTGAACAGTTCTATTAACTTGAAAACACTTTGTCGTTTGTAAAAATAAGGTTTAATATATTCATGCCTAAAATCCTCATAAAATTTGCAATTAAGTATAAAATGGAATTCATCTTAAACATCATTAGCGTTACAGAATGTACAAAGTCGTTGTTCTCTTGGTTTGATGTTTATTACCTACTATCAACAGGTTCATTACTGCGAGTACTGATCCGATGCAGGTAGCGGTTTAGTTATTCGAATCACAAATCAGCTGCTAACAGCGGTTTACTTATTCGAGTTACCATTCCGTTGTTGGGGACAGCTTAATAATTCTAATAACTAACTCTCAATAAGTAACCTGCTGATAATATTAGCCTGCTATCAACAAAATAAGGTTATGACACGTTTCAACGGTCGATCAACACAACTGTTTTAACATGTCGAACGTGAAACATAACTGAATGATCATAGAAATACTTTATGTCTTAACAAAGCGTACTTGGAACAGCAGCCATCTTATACACTATAAAACATATGTAACAGAGCGCATGATTTATTAAATATAAATCACTACCTCCGCATGGGATCGAACCCGGGACTTCTGGCTTACTAGTCTAACGCTCAACCGATCGAGCTAAAGAGAAGTTCTCTATACCGAGCGATATATTGCGGCTAGTATTTACCAGGGTTACACATATACAGGTGTTTATTAGACTCATGCATTACGTATTACTTGTATGATTATGTCCAATACAAACATATGAACATATTAATGTGCGAGGTACACTATACCAGTGCATTTGAAAAGATGGTTAGATATTGCCTGAGGCACTAAGTGTTATAATAACAGTAAACAGAATCAAAAAGCATGCACCAACAACTATCAATAATATTGTCATTTTCTTATTTTTCCACCATTGTTTTCTTCGTATACGCACCGAGGTCCTCTGGAACATCTCCGTCTGTAATAAACAAATGAAAACAGTTTAATATTGTGTATAATAGTCAACCAATGTTTAACAAGATAAACTATGCCATTCCGCTGCCCCTTTACTCAGTCAAGCATTTAAATAACTTCATGAAAATTTACACTGGAAAGTAACCAAACGTCCACACCAGTCGTTACCCTTTTATGTATAGTTTTGAGTAATCAATGAGATCTGTGACAGACACTACGCCTGAATGACTAACCCGTGGTAAACGTATGGAATTTGTATGTAGAACTAGCTGTCAGATCAAGGTTAACTCACTCAAAGCATAGTTAGCTTACCAACCAACACATTAGTTCAAAACACGATTTTCGATAATTTCACCCTGTTTGATTGTCTTTTTAAAAGTAACTATTTTGAATACAGGTCTGTACAATTACTTCTATTTTGATTTTTTTTTTATATGATGTTCAATCAGTTTTAAGTTAAATAGGCTTTGAATAGAAAACAGTGGTTCAGGTTTTGTCATATTCACTTCATATGAAATCAAGTTTAATAACATTGTTCCAATTACTCTCCCACTGACGATTAACGCCACACTTATTTTAAGCTAACCAAGAAAGTGTCAAATGTTTTGATAAGAACATTTCTAATCATATGTTTGATGTGTGTCAGTAATTTAATAAATGGTTGATTCTGGATAACACGAACTTTTCATTTACAAATGAATAATACACACGTACAGCTTGCCTCTGGTATAAATAAATAGCATGATATTCTAGGAAGGTGTCACTGCTGATTAAATAAATATCCCAGAGGGCAATACAATTTAATTTTTAGACTTATTAGAAAGATTTGTAGAAATTTCATTTTTCTCCTTTACTTTAAATTTCGAAATAAAACATTATAAGGACTTAGAACCGACCCCTGCCGCGCTCTTTTTCCATGTTAACCTGTATTATAGTTTAAAACCTTTTACTACATATCATCTATTTATCGTCATTTTTGAGTTAACGTCGTTAAAAACTTTCAAATTGTTTACTGGTTGTTCAGTGTTTAATGCATGCCATATTACGGTGGTAAGTATCAAAAGGGCTGTTCTACTCATTCAGATAGTTATCATTCATAATATATAGTACCCCTTCATGAAATACAGATTTATTTATAAAAAAGAGCATTCATTCATAGCAAATTTCCTGATATTATAGCATGTATCTAAAATTAATAAATGTAAATATTAAGTAAATATTTACGAAGAAGAATATTATACATATCCTATCGTAAAGCAGTTATATACAATTATTAACACAGAGGCAGCTCATGCTTTAACTTCTAAAGAACTTGTAACCTAATGAACTATAGTAACGATTGTTTACCGATGCGTTAAGGCTCTCCGCTTTCTCACAGAGATCGTCGAGTTTTCCTTCTCTATCTCTGATTTTAACCATATTGTCCATCATAATGTCTGTTATTTCTTGTGCCTCATCCCTGAGCTCGTCGAGACTTTTTGAGCGGTGGGATGGACGAAGAGGAACACTCTCTTCTGGCAGATTTTTGATGTTGGGAGTACTTGCACTCTGAGCGTCACTAAGCTCAAACAGATACAAATCGTCTTTTGAATATCCATTTTCTTTGCTCTTTTTGTCTTTTTTCTTTTCCTTCTTTTCTTTCTTGTCCTTCTTGTGTTTCTTTTTCATCTAAACATTGAAAATTAACAACACTATGAAGCATGAGAGTAGACAACATCTAGAAACAGGGGGTTTGACAGAGATATATTTATTTAGACATATCGAATTGTCATGGATGTAAAAAGAAGACAAATTGTGAATGACCATACATTATTTCAATATAAAAGATGAATGTACACACACACACAAACATACAGGTGAGTATACCTTTAACATTTGGTAATAGATAAAGCATGCCAAACATTAATTACACTTATATATATCACCTGAAGCAATAGAAACTGGACTTGTGATATTGAATGTTGCTATATGAATCTAGATGAGTGGACGTCATGACATTGATCTCACCGAGTGGTTGTTATTTCATCAACCAAAATGAGTGGTTGTTTATATTTCAGTCTAAACAACTGGTTGTTATAACATCCATCAAAAAAGTAAGTGGTTCTTACGTTTGTTATATAAATAACAGTTTGTTATTAGTATCTAGATATTGTATCTAGATAACTGGTTGTTATTGAATCAATTAAAACAAGTGTTTGTTTCTTTTTCGATATGAATGACTTGTCATTTTTACATCAATCAAAATGAGCGGTTGCTTCATCCGGTCTAGCTGAGTGGGTGTTATAACACCAGTTTAGCTGAGTGGGCATTAGTTGTGTTTAAATTCTCGGACATATGATCGGCAAAAAAATCATTTGTTTAAAATGGCATTCGCGCTGAGGTAAGACGGGGCATATAGTGCATTTCGATGAAAAACTTAACCTTGAGCCTTATTGTTGACGTACGAACAAAATGAGACAAAACAAGTGACGTAAGTAAAACATAATATAATGTATATAAATGGTTCGTCATACTCTATCAACAAATGTATCATTCATATTATGGTCGGGTGTGAATTGATCATTTTAACTTTTACTCAGTTACAAAATTAATAGATCTTAAAAATAATTTATACTGAACAAAAAAAGAAACGCACAATTAAATTATGCAATCAATAGCCTATGATATTTTGGGAAATTTGTAAAAAATATTATATCAATATGAAGGGACAAGTCTACTATTTACAATACTGTAGACGAAAAGTCTGTGTGACGTCACTCGTGTCATCAGTAGTTACTCAAAGTGGGATACCCACGAAAAACAAAATGACACTTCAGTACCTGGTGTGGGCACTTTTGCACGAATCCCTGCACGGATTCTCTTATGCATTGAATTCATGACAACATTTATTCGCCTTAAGGGATTGTTGTTCCATTCTTGTGTTAATGCTCCGATCAACTGGGCGCGGTTAGTTGGGGAGTTTTGACGTTTCCTAATACGCNCTCTGGCAACATGCGGTCGAGCATTGTCTTGCTGGAAAATTAGGTTATGACGTCTGAGAAGTGGAAGGACATGTGGTTGGAGGATCTGGTCTCTGTATCGAACGGCATTGAGGTTTTGATCCAGGACCACTAAGGGGGATTTTACTCCATGGGAGATGCCTCCCCAAACCATTACAGAAGCCCCATCGAATCTATCGCGTTCAACCACGCATGCGTCGGCGAAACGCTCACCGCGTCTGCGAAATACCCTTTTTCTTCCGTCTGAGCGATACAGACAGAATCTAGACTCGTCGGTGAACATCACACGCCTCCATCGACGCATCCAAAACCTATTCGGGCCATGTCTGCGCATCCAGTCAAGACGCACTTGCCGCATCCGTGGTGTCAGAGGTGGCCCGACATAAGGTCGGCGCCTATGATTCTCTCGGCACGCAAGCGGTTCGTGTCAGTTTGAGGACTAATGGGTCTGCCATGAGTACCTAAGGTATGCGACGCAGTTTCTACAGCAGTCTTGAATCTGTTGCGCAAGTGCGACAATCGAATCGCCCTGTCTTGTCTTGTCTAATGTGGCTGAACTTGAATCCGTTGAGATTATTTGTTTGAAAAACTCCGGCTTGGCTTGATCACGCCGCGTGTTTTGGACTAAAGAAGCTCACAAAGTCACACAATGACATCGTCACGCTTGGCTGATTTTAGGGTAGATTGTTGAGAAGGGAGATCGTTCTTGATGTAATACCTGACTAAATATTCCATTATTTCCTTACAGCTAAGGTGTACTGCAACTTTGTGCGTTTCTTTTTTTGTTCAGTATATTATTGAAGAACTGCATTGTTAAGTAAACAAATCTTCACAGATATGCTCTCAGTTTTAAAACATTTTGTATGTTAAGAAAAACACAATACATGTTTATTTGAATAATTATGACGTAAGTGTCATACATTTGGTACTGCCTTTTCTTCATGATGATATCAGTATCACAAGACGATCACTATACGTATCTGTCTATATTAGTTCAAGTAAATGTCTAATGAAATCGAGACGAAAATATAGGAAAGTCGTGTAAAATTCGTTATGTGACATTCCTTAAATAGCATGGGCCATGGTAGGAATACATTACTGTCATTTGGACGAGACCACATCGTTCTCACAGTAAAACTGATCTCCAAAATATATCTCATGTATACAGTTAAATGATGTTGTTTAGGAGACGACTTCTAATAGTTTATCATTTCTGCATTACAACTACACAAAGACAAATTAGATATGCTACGTACACTAATTTTAGAATATGCCATGATGATTTAAATGTTTGGTGTTACTTTAAAAATGACGCTGTCATCAATTGATACACATCGATGACGTCACTTTTAATAGTAGTCATAAATCTACCCTTAAAGTCACTCGATTTGGATGACTGCATTGCTAGAAGGCCTTAATTAAACCTATTTGTGATAGCAATTTGAAACATTCTTGTAATACCCGTGGATACGTATTGAAACGTGATGGAATCAGTGAGGTATGTCGACATAATATTATCCCTTTATCCATTTAGAATTATATTTACTTGCTCATGTAAAGGGAGCAACATATATATGTGAACTATTCGAACGACAGACTTAGATACTAACACGTCCCAACTCCAACGCAGGTTTTAAGTATTAGGTGTAAAAATATACTACCAAATCAAATTTTCCATAAATATATCTTATCCTACTTATAAGATATGTAACAGTCGTCTTTATAACCCGATTACTAGCTATGAAAGGTCGATGTCTACCCTGATAAAGCATTTTGCACTATCACTCAATTATTGATGACCTCTATAGTTTCCTGGATTTGACGGAACACTTCACAGTTTGGTGCAGTAAACGTGTATTTTTACGGACACTCAGCTTAGCCTTCTAATTTTATAGGTTAGTGATGTTTATTTTAATGCTATTTTTGTTCTTCTCAGCTGTGGTTAATAGATTTGTTATGTTTATTTATGTTATAGATAGGTGTAGTACCAAACAACATCTTAAACATAAAACTGATATTGTATAATTATGGTTTGAAAAAAAAAGAATAAAGTGTTCTTGGAAATGTAATTTGCCGGGAAAATAAAGTTTATGTGTTAAGTAGAACTATAATATGCCTTACATTATAGTTTCCATGTGCAGAAAAAGATAGAGATTTATTTAATAGTAACTGTTGCTCAAGCAACATGATAGCGATTTATTTTTTTGTGATAAAACTGAAGTCTTTACTTTTTGACAAGCACTAAATCCATAAAAAAAATAATTCTCTAAGCAGTTGAAAAAGTAAAGAAGCATTTCCATCCGTAAATTTCGTGGGGTTGGATTCTTTTTTCTTTTTTACAAATTTCGCGGATATATTTTTTTATCCTCGAAAAACCTAGCCATCGAAACTGAAACCTGCGAAAAATACATAAAGATTCCAAAAAGTTGACAATATTTCTGCAAATCAGTGGAAATAAGGGACCGCGAATAAAATGTATAACTCACTGTCTTTTCAGCTGCATAACCATCCTAACTAATATTACCGTTATCTTTATGACTTTATACGAGAATGTTCAGAAATTTATTAAAAACTTTAAAGAGGTATGGCGGGCTGCTATGCCTATTTCCCCAAAGTTATGTTACGCTAGTGCGCGCATCCAACCGTGTACTGTAATGACGCGTACTCAGGTATTTTTGTACAGGTAGCTATATCGGAATCCTGTGTCTAAGAATAGATTATTGTAAACATGGCTATTAATACATGCGTTTAACGATAAAGGCTCAACACAATGCTTATTTCACGTTATTTATATTGATTTGTAACAAAGTATACGTTATATGTAATACAAGATCGTGCAATCTATACGAAACAGTTTTGAACGGATTTAATTTTTATCACTACTACCTGCGTTCGGTAAATCGGTAGCATTCAGAGTGAGTTCTGAGATAATATCCGGTCTCGGGCGATAATCTNATGAACAAGGTCTGGTTCCTCACGATTGACATAGATGACATTTCAAGCAAATGAGGCTGTCCTCGCTGATAAGTTTTCCCGCATTTTCGGTAAAATATTTCCGATAACAACAGTTCATTTTTCTTGCTTGGGCCTTTTTTTTATTCTGACGCAACAAATCCCACATATTTGGTATTTCGACATTATTTGTTGGTGTTTGAGCACTAGATATAATTAGTTTGCCAGTTGGAGGGTCAAACAGTTCATAAATTTCATCAAAGCTGTACTGTACACGTGTGCAGGGATTTGTTGACATGCTTTGATAGAAGTATGTCGCACTAAATAGTAACGAAATTATTACTAACCCGAGAAACACCTGTCGCAGTTTAGAGAAACTTGATCAACCCTGTTTTTCATTATTTCAGCACTTTCCCAAAGTAGGACCACTTTTCCGTAATACGATTTGTTTTTGCATATTACATCAAGGTCACAAAAAGTTTATTCAAAAGTATTTTTTTTGGTCCGGGAAACCCCATCACTTTCATAGATATAGTGTAAATGGCTACATTTGCAGTATCATATTAGCAATACCTAATTTCTCAGCAGTTTAAAAATTCTTATTCAATTGGTTCTATATCTTTTGTATGCATTTTTGATACACGAAATGTTTTATTCCTTAATTTGTTTACCCGTTTTCATAAATGCCGACTTAGGGAAATACAAGCAGTTTTCCGCCATACCTCTGTACATCGAATCGGTTTTGCCAGCAAATCGTTGAGCATCATTCGTATTTTTAAAAGCTTGATGAATCATTAGATATACTAGACAATCTACTCTATATTCCTTCATCTGATACCAACATTATGTAGATCACAGTCATCTTTGTGACGAGAAAAAGGTTGAACTCTATTTCTCGACTTACTGACCTTTTTAATGTCATGTTCACGGCCTGGGTCCATTATACATCTCTTGCTAAATGTGTTGAGATAGGTATTGCTTAAGTGAAACTAGTAAGCGTATCTTTGTGGTTTTAAATCATGTCTGGTCAATGTCTTAAAACATAAGACTGGAGTGAAAAAGCGATAGAAACATACTGCCTAATTTCAACAAATAAACAATATAGAACCTCGTCTGAAATAATGCGATCATACACACATGAATAATAAACCTATAACCTAGAATTTCGCCTCAATGCATTCAATCAGGTATATATACATGTATATGTCAGTGTCTCGGGGGATACATTCTATTCATATTTACAACTGCCTCTTAAGTGATCTTTAAACACTATACTGAAAACAAAACTTACAATATAAATGTATTTACTACATTCATTAATAATTTATTAATTATTAATACAATACAATACAGATAAGCCTAATTAAATCAAATACTTACAAACAGATGTATGGATTACATGGATGTATACTTTGGATCACGTTACAACTATAGCAGCTATTACATATCGGTCTATTCAATTTTCTCGAAAAGGTTTTAAAGGTTGTAAATCATTTAAAATCATGTTAATCATTTAATGAATCTCTTTGCATGTTTTCCCCGGAACGATAACGGAAGAATATTTATAACGTTTCTTTACCGATAGATACGGTCAGATATATGTAAAATTGTAAAAACATTTAACAAAAGCGCCGTCTGGATTGAATATATACTGCCAGAGTGTAACATTATTCTCACCTGTATGTACACTTCAGTGAACAAATACACCTGAATCAGTATTGATATTACTTGCCCCAAGATGCAAATGTCAAAAGCGTAGGTGTCCTTGTTGTAAGACCGAGTTTACAAAGACCATATCGGACGTAATATAGGTAATTCTGAGGATTTCTCGGAAGATATTGAGGCAGATCTTTTCTTTATGACGCTATGTTAAGTTATTTGGCATAAATGCCTGTTTAAGCTCATTGAACAAATGGCTACGAGTATTATATCTTGTACACATCAGTGAACAGGCATATCTAAATAAGGATAGCTTATAAATGTACCACTTGCCTTGAGGTGTGTAACAATCAAATATTTCTCGACAGCTACAACAAACTTCAATCCTTGTATGAAATATCTTTTTATTTCTTGTTGCTTGATCTCGTGTGTATGAAAGAAGAATTCACTTCTACATACTCTTCCGGCTTCTCAGCGTTTTGTCTGCCTTACTTTAAGGTAGGATAGTCATGCCCTTTGACCTCCAGTGTTTGTTAGTGGGGGTAATGTACCTTGACGGGAATGGCTTGGCCGGCTCATACAGAGTAGAGATGTTGTGATTTTATCAGACACCTTGTTATATAGTCTCGTTCAACCAGACTCGTATTGCCTCCGCAAGCTACGCCGAATAGAGAGTCTGGTAAAACGCAGTGCTATTGATTTGTGACATCATAACGAGGCTTACCGAGATTCTGGTAAACATTTTCATTGGTCAAAGGTTGACACACCCTTTTTAACTTTTGAAGTCAGAATTTGAGTGGCCCAAAATTACATTCAATATTTTAATTCATTAAAAAATTACCTGTATATGCATTCCTGAAGTATCAATGTTTTCACTATTACCGAGAAAAATGTAAGAAAATGCTTCACAAAGAATGATTTCATGTATTTTCATTGGATATTTTACAATAATTCATGAAGCTAACAAGGCTATATATTGATACAAGTCAAGCCAGATTACCTGAGTGAGAACTTGAAGGTGTTGTGAATGGTGCACAGGTAAAATCTCACTTGCTTTGCATGCTTTTTTCAAACTTCAGTCAGCCTTGTTGGCTTTGTGCTTAGCTATGATTTATTCAATGGAAATATATGGCATTATTCTGGAGATTTGACACATTTTCTTATATTGTTCTCGATAAAAGTGAATACACGGGTACTTCAGGAATGCATGTGTACAGTAGGTAACTTTTTTCATTAATTTCATTATTCATTGAAATGCTTAATGGCGTTGACATAACGTCCGGAAACGAAAGTAGAAATACTGCCCTCTGGTGGCGATAATGTTAGTGCGCTGTGTTTGACCAGACTCTTGAATTACAAGTGATCAAGCGTCTGGTTGAACGAGACTACGTTATGTCTGCCTTACTTTAAGGTAGAATAGTCATGCCCTTTGACCTCCAGTGTTTGTTAGTGGGGGTAATGTACCTTGACGGGAATGGCTTGGCAGGCTCACAGAGAGTAGAGATGTTGTGATTTCTGTGTGTATGAATATCAGACACCTTGTTATATAGCAGACGGAGTGGTTTGACATACACCAGATAGACGTATTACTTACAATGATTATATTATTTAGTATACGAAAATGCATGTTACTGAATACACAGTACCGTTTAAATGTGGGGCAGTTGTAAATGTAAATGTCTTACTTTCATGTCTCCGACAGTTTCGTATCTATTACCTAATTCTAAAGGTGTAAACACCTGTGTATGTGTAATGCTCATTTTGCAATTTAATCTCCAGGTTTGCTGTAACCTTGCTGGCCACATTTTCCCTTTTGAGTAGTGACATGATTCATAGTATACACACTTTACAGAATATTTCTTTTGAAATTAACCAGTATTCATATACGTTGTCAATTTATAATTAAGGGGTCTTCGCACCTGCCCTTTTGTTTTACTGTAGTTTGGACAATTTATTTTTCCAACATTTTGGCATTTACATGTAGCATAACCGATGAGTCCTTATAAGACGGAACAGCTGTATGGCGGAGTGTAATTCGTTTTTGGCTAACTGTTTCTATTTCCAAACTTTTAAGGTGTAATCACGTGTTCGTGCGCGCGCGTGTTAACACCAGATGAAATTATGCGCTCTTGCTTACAACGAAAATTGTACGAAAAGCGGGGATGCACTGATATACTTCAGCATTAAAGTTCAGAAATCAAGTTAGACAAATCGATACTTTTTTACTTCCAATTAGTTATCAAAAAATTGTGAATGTATAGTGCTAATAAATTACCCGTTCAGGTTACAGTACCTAAACGAAAACCCAACTAGTAGAGATATTACGGAACACGGCAAGTTAACGTATCATATTACAACAAAATATATCTGGACGATACAATCATATCAAAGAGCAATGTCATTGCTTCATAAAAACACTTCACAAAAGTGTATCAGTGTATCTAAAGTGAAACATTTTAGATACTTTAATTTGTGATATTGAAATACATACAATCAATTAATTTACAAATTGATTGAAACTAAGGTTTATCTCGACATTTAGCTGTCTTTTGATGTGTTAATAGTAAATCTAGGGAATATGAAGATCTGGGAATACATGGAAGCTGTTTTTCGTTTTTCGTGTAAAAGAAGATAGACCTAACATTGACATGTTTGTTTATGAATCTAGCATATAGTTCCTATTGATTGAACCAACCTACCTGCAATCCCTCCTTCAATGAAAATCCCTTCACTCGTACTTCATACCCACCCAAGTCAAGTGTATTACTCTACGAATCGGAAACTGTAAGTAGGCATAGTAGTGTGCATACCCTGTATCTTTCAAAACTATAGTTCGATCTCAAAATCGACTAAATTAGAACAATATTCAAACTAATGAAATATTTACACGGTCAATAAAATACAAAGATAATTCATAAGTCCTCCGAAAAAAATATACTAATGATGAAAAAGATTTCGAAGTCCATACTAAGATATAACTTTATGAATCGAGGAGGCATCGTCTAAACCAGGATGGGTAACGTTAACCACTCCACCACCCCAACCCCCACCCCCAAAATAAGAGACGAAATCATGAATTTCCGAAAGGTTTACGTTCCCGCTTTTGTCAATTTGTCGTAATATTTGGCGTCATATTTAGAAAGATCAGCAATGATAGGAAACAGAGGTCTTTTATCATTAAATCTACTTATAATGTTTTCGCTTATAAAATGACTGGGTATCTACGTATCTACCTTTAATTAATCCAGAAATATTCAATATCATGCAATGTAGGTAGGCGATGTAAACAATCATTCCGTGTTTATTTTATACAAATGGAATGCAAGACTAAATTATATTCACAATATTAATGCATTTTTTGTGTGAAATCATACAATGTACGTGTACAAAGGGAGCTTACTCGTACATATCGTTAAACTTTGTTACAACATAGATACTCCATACATTTATTCATGTATAAAATGCATGTTGATTTCATTTAGATAACCAGGTCTGAAACAAACAAAAATAACACTAATGATAATTTCAAACTTTGAATATAATCGTATGTGTAAGGTTAAATATTATTCAATAATAATTATGAAAATGAAAGTAAAACTATTTTTGTTCTGGGAAATGTAAATATAATTACACATTTACGGAATCAACCTGGGTATTTCCTGGTCTGATATCGATTAAAACAGAACTGACTCAAGTACGTATACCCCACTATCAGACAAGCTATACGCATGCACGTTACAATGACGTTTACCGAACTGGAAATTTCCACAAGGCATTTGTGATATTTTCAAAAAGCATATAGACGCTTCATATCTGGATTGACACCTGAATCAGTATTCAGATTGACACCTGAATCAGTATTGATATTACTTGCCCCAAGATGCAAATGTCAAAAGCGTAGGTGTCCTTGTTGTAAGACCGAGTTTACAAAGACCATATCGGACGTAATATAGGTAATTCTGAGGATTTCTCGGAAGATATTGAGGCAGATCTTTTCTTTATGACGCTATGTTAAGTTATTTGGCATAAATGCCTGTTTAAGCTCATTGAACAAATGGCTACGAGTATTATATCTTGTACACATCAGTGAACAGGCATATCTAAATAAGGATAGCTTATAAATGTACCACTTGCCTTGAGGTGTGTAACAATCAAATATTTCTCGACAGCTACAACAAACTTCAATCCTTGTATGAAATATCTTTTTATTTCTTGTTGCTTGATCTCGTGTGTATGAAAGAAGAATTCACTTCTACATACTCTTCCGGCTTCTCAGCGTTTTGTCTGCCTTACTTTAAGGTAGGATAGTCATGCCCTTTGACCTCCAGTGTTTGTTAGTGGGGGTAATGTACCTTGACGGGAATGGCTTGGCCGGCTCATACAGAGTAGAGATGTTGTGATTTTATCAGACACCTTGTTATATAGTCTCGTTCAACCAGACTCGTATTGCCTCCGCAAGCTACGCCGAATAGAGAGTCTGGTAAAACGCAGTGCTATTGATTTGTGACATCATAACGAGGCTTACCGAGATTCTGGTAAACATTTTCATTGGTCAAAGGTTGACACACCCTTTTTAACTTTTGAAGTCAGAATTTGAGTGGCCCAAAATTACATTCAATATTTTAATTCATTAAAAAATTACCTGTATATGCATTCCTGAAGTATCAATGTTTTCACTATTACCGAGAAAAATGTAAGAAAATGCTTCACAAAGAATGATTTCATGTATTTTCATTGGATATTTTACAATAATTCATGAAGCTAACAAGGCTATATATTGATACAAGTCAAGCCAGATTACCTGAGTGAGAACTTGAAGGTGTTGTGAATGGTGCACAGGTAAAATCTCACTTGCTTTGCATGCTTTTTTCAAACTTCAGTCAGCCTTGTTGGCTTTGTGCTTAGCTATGATTTATTCAATGGAAATATATGGCATTATTCTGGAGATTTGACACATTTTCTTATATTGTTCTCGATAAAAGTGAATACACGGGTACTTCAGGAATGCATGTGTACAGTAGGTAACTTTTTTCATTAATTTCATTATTCATTGAAATGCTTAATGGCGTTGACATAACGTCCGGAAACGAAAGTAGAAATACTGCCCTCTGGTGGCGATAATGTTAGTGCGCTGTGTTTGACCAGACTCTTGAATTACAAGTGATCAAGCGTCTGGTTGAACGAGACTACGTTATGTCTGCCTTACTTTAAGGTAGAATAGTCATGCCCTTTGACCTCCAGTGTTTGTTAGTGGGGGTAATGTACCTTGACGGGAATGGCTTGGCAGGCTCACAGAGAGTAGAGATGTTGTGATTTCTGTGTGTATGAATATCAGACACCTTGTTATATAGCAGACGGAGTGGTTTGACATACACCAGATAGACGTATTACTTACAATGATTATATTATTTAGTATACGAAAATGCATGTTACTGAATACACAGTACCGTTTAAATGTGGGGCAGTTGTAAATGTAAATGTCTTACTTTCATGTCTCCGACAGTTTCGTATCTATTACCTAATTCTAAAGGTGTAAACACCTGTGTATGTGTAATGCTCATTTTGCAATTTAATCTCCAGGTTTGCTGTAACCTTGCTGGCCACATTTTCCCTTTTGAGTAGTGACATGATTCATAGTATACACACTTTACAGAATATTTCTTTTGAAATTAACCAGTATTCATATACGTTGTCAATTTATAAT